CCTGGGTTTTTACCATTTGCCCTAAACGAAATAAAGACATATTTCCAATGCTACACATTTGGGCCACCGAAAAATACAGGAAATGATGGATGGGAGCCAAAAGATGCAATAGGTCATCAAATCATATCGCACAAATTGAAAGTAAGTTCACATCACTGGCAAAAGTCTCGGTTACATTTTCTTTTAAATGCTAAAAGAATACATTTATTGTAGATGTACACATCTGCTGAATATTCTTCATATCTACATCGTTAAAAGTGCCTGAAAGGCGTTTTAAAAATGACAGGTGTAATTTCAAAATAAAATTCCTAAGGCGCGTTAGAATTGTTGATGTAATCGGGATTGCGATTTTGTAAAGCGCCTTCCACTAAAGCGCTTTTAGCGGTTTTCTGTTGTTATTCCAGCAAGAGTCTCCAAAATTACTGTTCTGAACTGTTCTTTTAGCTTAAATCAATAGTTACATATTCATTTTGGCATCCATTTTGGTGGCCATCTTGGATTTCTATAAAAAGTAATTGTTTGATGATAAAAGAAAAGAGATAAATGAAATCCTTGACCCTTAAAACCGAGACATGATCTCCAAAATCACTGTTCTTTGAGCTTAGATCAATAGTTACATATTCGTTTTGGCACCCATTTTGGTGGCCATCTTGTATTTTTATGAAAAGGTAATTATTTGATGACTCCGATTTAGACATAAATGAAATCCTTGACTCTAGAACTGTGACATGATCTCCAAAATCACTGTTCTTAACTGTTCTTCGAGCTTAAATCAATGGTTACATACCGGTATTCGTTTTGGCACCCATTTTGGTGGCCATCTTGGATTTCTATAAGAAGTAATTGCTTGATGACATAGATTTAGACATAAATGAAATCCTTGACCCCTAAAACCGTAACATAGGCCCTAAAATCAGTTTCTGCATCTCAGTGTGCTTAGATATACCCACTCTTATATTGTAACACGTGCACCGGCGGCCATTTTGAAAAATGGGTGATAACACCCATTTAGCTACAACTGTTGCAATGCTATCACATATTTTCTTACTCTAGAGGTCTTAACCTTCCCAAAAATCACTATGGCGATTATTCCCCTGATTTGATACCGATAACCTAAATTTTGGGGTGAAGCTGATGGCCTAATTATAAAGAGGACTGGAAACAAGATGGCAGTCTATTTCAAATCTGCCAACTCGTGTTGGCCTATTTATCACTATTGACTAAGTTGTTCATCTAGTTTTACTTACCTTAGATGCTTAGTGATCTATTTAGTATAATATTGTTTTCAAAATTATTGTCTTTTGCGATAATTAATACTAAAAGTACTTTGAACAGGTCAGCTGCCATTTGCTTGGCCCAATCGTACCAGTCCACAAAAACAGTGAAATCATATTAAAAATACCATGCAATAAAACTTTAAAATTGAGGCAGATGTGATACAAAGAGACTCTATTAATACAGATATACAGGTTACAGTCACCAAGATGAGCTAATTTCAGGCGAGATTTGGGAAATAAAAAGGTAGGTCATTCTTGTTTTCAGTCCTCTTAAATTTACTTCGGTCCAAAGCCTTCTCTACAGTTGGGGACAAAAATAAATGACAGGTCGATTTTCGATCACCATTTCCTAATTATGGTGGTCTGAAAGCCCATAATTTCCAATATTGTCTAGATATATATCCCTTAAAATTTGTATATTTTACATTTTGTATAATCTCATCCACTGATGTATGGCCTCTTGTAAATTCTCTTATTTTTAACATGGGAAATCCTCACTTCAGCAAATCCACCTGTCATTTATTTATGTCCCCAACTGTATATTCCGGCTTTGAGGAGGAAGATTGAGCTGCCTTAGTATTATAAATATTGTAAATCATTGTGTCACACGCACAGTAAATATGGCATAATAATATGAAATATACCTTTATGTATAGATTTGAAGAACACCAGCTCACATCCCCGTCTGAATCTATTGTTATATTTGATTTCTTTAAGCGAGAATAATTTCAAATGTTATTCACGTCCAGAACCGGAAGCCATTTTTAGCTACAGCGAGAAAATTTCACCATGTGTTGAAACTCCGAAATGAAATTTTGAAATATCTAAATCCAGACAAGCAACGCTTCATCCTAAATCACGGGATGTCATCGCCTGATTTAGTCAATGTTAGGGAGCAGGTCGTTTTTACAATAAATTTCAATATTTTCACACAAAATATTTTTTTACTGAAAAACTGCTCATTCGCAGAGAAAATGTACTAGCACATGCAATGACAATGTCAATCACGCTTCTGTACGAAATTCGGCGGAAGTCTTTTATAATCTAATACGAAGTTACTAAAAAAGGCGCGAACGCCCTACACTCAAAATGATCGTTTTTCCATTATAACTTTTTAACGTAATTTAACGAAGGCTTCTAATTATTATCCAAGATAGTCTAAATACCGATTAAAATATTTCTTACTTCAAACAGATACGCCGTCTTTTATTCAATTTTTTAAAAAATAATAAAAAATAACTCTTGTCAATGTTAGGGAGCAGTCAATGTTAGGGAGCAAAATGATTTTATCAGAATATTAAAAATGTAGCAAATGGCCATTTAAAATATGTATGGCATTTATAAACTGAACAATTTTGTTTGTATGATTATTTGATACCCTTTGGGGAGGAAAGCGTTAAAATTGTAAGAAAATCATTGAAAAGGTTATTTTGCATTTTTTATTTTCAGCTAAATCCTGTTTACGTTCGTTTTAGAAATATTTAGATGCGAACCATTCCTTCTTTATTCGTTGACCTCTAACTGTAAATACCAATGTAACCATTGTATATTATGTAAAAATTGTATAAATGTTTCAATGTTAATAAATTAATTTAAAAAAAATATAAAAAAAAACTGTAAATGAATGGATGTATCGTTATATACACTTTTTGATGATGTCATCAGTTCACAATCCTAAATTGTGGATGATAAATTATCTGAACTGATATATAGGCTTGAGAAATCTCCGACATCCTTCAGTTCTATGATTTGATATTTTCCTAGTATTAAAGTAAGAGAGTTAGTCTCGCACTTATCTTTACGACCGGGTATCACCTGATAGCTGGCACAAACGCTATGAAGGGCTCATTGCGCAGTTACATGTATGATTGTAGATTTTTACACGTATACTTCAATTTGTCAATACTCAGACAATGCAGTCCGATCTCTGTTATATGTGTACCACTTGCTAATGATACTCTAAAGCCCGGTATACACCAATGGGACAAGTTGGGACCTCCATAGACTTAACATGGCGTGGGACCTAGTGGGACCTTTTGGGATTTTGCCCCATGAAGTCCGTGGGAATCAATGGGACTCCGTCGGATTTTGCCCCAACTTGCATATAATCTTGCCCCATCGAGTCCCATGAGGTCCCACGTTGGACTCGATGGGATTCGATGGGGCAGGATGGGGCAAAATCCCACGGAGTCCCATCTTGCCCCATCGAGAATGAACATGTTCATTCTTTCCATGGGGCATCGTGGGATTTCCGATCAGGTCACATGTTATGTGAAGCCCAACATACACCAATGGGGCAAGGTGGGATTTGCTCCGCCACATTGATCATACTTATTTTTTATTATTTAAAAAAAATTAAAGAAAGGTGTACCTGTTTGAAGTAAGAAATATTTCAATATGTACTGAGATTATCCATGATAATAATTAACTTTCCTTCGTCAAAAATCTTTGAGAGTCCATTTTCTGAAGATAACAAAAATGCAAAACAATTTTTTTTATCGATTTTGTTAAATTTTGTTAAGGCAAGGGGTTTAAAATAATCATTCAAACAATATTGTTTAGTTTATAAATGCCATACATATTTTAAATGGCCATTTGCTACATTTTTAATATTCTGATAAAATCATTTTGCTCCCTAACATTGACTGCTCCCTAACATTGACAAGAGTTATTTTTTATTATTTTTTAAAAAATTGAATAAAAGACGGCGTATCTGTTTGAAGTAAGAAATATTTTAATCGGTATTTAGACTATCTTGGATAATAATTAGAAGCCTTCGTTAAATTACGTTAAAAAGTTATAATGGAAAAACGATCATTTTGAGTGTAGGGCGTTCGCGCCTTTTTTAGTAACTTCGTATTAGATTATAAAAGACTTCCGCCGAATTTCGTACAGAAGCGTGATTGACATTGTCATTGCATGTGCTAGTACATTTTCTCTGCGAATGAGCAGTTTTTCAGTAAAAAAATATTTTGTGTGAAAATATTGAAATTTATTGTAAAAACGACCTGCTCCCTAACATTGACCAAATCAGGCGATGACATCCCGTGTAAATATGATTAATATTCTTAAAAATATTTATAAATTTTATTAAAAATGAGTTCTAGGTGCGTGTAGGTGCGTGTAGCACAGTACATACGAAATCAATGAAGTTTCGTCTAGCTGTAAGCTAGAGACTCGAGTAATCTTAAATAATCGATGCTCCGGCTTTCGACAGAAACTTACTTGATGTCCGTGGTTTACACAATATTAACAATCATAAATAAATACGCTTTTATAGGCCTAGTTTTTGAAAAATCTTGAAACAATTGGTATGCACGGGCGTTCTGTGCGTAACAGGCGCTACGCCCATGTTGGTGGAACTTGAGATTATTGTCGATATTGACTCCAAGGTCCTTTTCCACACTACTATACCTAACACCTAGAAATGCATAAGATACTTTGTTTGTCTAATTGAATTGTTTAATATATTTTTGAAAGTGCCTTACTAGCATCTAATTTTCAACCGATAAACCATTCATAAGGAACAGACAAATAAAAACAAATACATAATCATTACTAATAAGCCAAATGGGTTGCTCATGAACACCTAATGCAAGGTATAGTAGTGTGTTTTCAGTTTTAGTGATTTCCAAGATCTGGTCATTCATTTTATGGTATTTGCTTGGGTATTTGGGTATTTTGGTTTCAGTTATGTATAAATTAGAAAAAAAACATACTTACGAAAATGTGTATCAACATAATCGCACGTGTTCATAGTCGTATTACTTCTACGGTACCTACAAAGCGAATGTTGTAAGTCAGCAATAATGTGCAGAAGTGGGTGTATGATTTGGTGCACTTGCACTAAGTCCAGTCGAAGATTACCGAAGATTTTACGGAATATTCCGAAATGTATTATTTCATGACGAAGCTTATACTCCCAATTTAGATACTGTTTGATTGTATAGATTTACTATCCAATTACTTTCAAATACCCCTTTTTATTATTTAACTTCTAAAAAAGTGTTTGTTCATTAAAGTAATTACAAGTTACATCGTATTTATTTTAAAATTTGCATATTGGTGAATAATACCGACACTTGTCACAGAAAAAAATGGCAGCGTCCTGAAAAATAAAAATGAGCAGCGCAGCTCAAGTTTTGCGGTAAAACTATCTTTTATTGGACTTTATAGTTTCATTTAGAAAACTAACAAACTGTTTCTTTACTATCTCAAACATTGCCTAACTTTCAGAACTTTGTGTTGTGTTGTTATTGAGTAAGAGGGTTCTGAAAACTTTTCAATTTTATTTACAAAAAATCAACAAAAACATCTGATCTACCTTAGAAGAAATGTAGAATGTCACTCGACTTTTTTGGTTATTTTAAAGTCATGTCAGCACTTCACAGTTCAAAATCAACTTCTGTTGTAAATTGACACCACCTTCTCAAAATTGTGATAGGGTTTCATTGAAATGTCCAATTGTGTGTAGATCTAACTGTGTTCTCAACTCTAGCCTAGAAACTCTAAACTGCTATGGAAGTTAAGGTCAGGGTGCATGATGGGAAATTTTCTGCATTCCTCAATTGAGTCACATGTTATTTTTCAAACAAGAATCACTCCTTCCCTTCATTGTCTATATCTTCCAGTTTTGCACAAAGAGTGCACTTCTGTGCCTAGAAAAGACTTGTGAGAAGAATGTTTTGATAAAGTGTATAAAAAACAAGAAAATTCAGTGAAAAAAATCAGAAAATTTTCAGAAAATTTTTTCACTGAATTTTCTCGTTTTTTATACATTTTACAAAACAAACCTTCTCACAAGGCTTTTCTAGGCACAGAAGTGCACTCTTTGTGCAAACTTGGAAGATGTAGACAATGTGGGGAAGGAGTTATTCATGTTTGAAAAATAACATGTGACTCAATTGAGGAATGCAGAAAATTTCCCAACATGCACCCTGTCCTTAACAGGAAATGACAAAACAGGAAGTGACAAATTTTTTGCATTTTTAGAAATTTTTTGAACAAGGTGACAGAGTTTTGACCTCCAGTCAATTCAACTAGTTCCAAATACCATTTACAGGTCCAGGATCACAATGTTCATGGTCAGAATGACCCTAAACATGATGAAATAACCTTTTCAGCCCTATGAAAATGTGACTGAAAAATAGCTAAAAGTAGGAGGTAGAAAAGGTCGCTAAACAGAATCTTTTGAATTTTTCAGAAAATGTGCCCAATATATTGCTCTAAATGATACAATCTTTGAAAATTTGATATCATTCATAGAAAAAGAAAAAACATGATTTGAAAAGTGATCTATTTTCCTTTTTATGACCGTTATTTTTGTTTAAGACAATTTTTCTAAAATCTCTTATTGTTGTCATCAATTCTAAAGTTCACAACAAAATGAGAATTTGTAAAATGCTAAATAAATTTGTCTAACAGAGTTAGAACGAATATTTTGCTTTAAAGAACATCCAGCTATAGTAGTACATCATGTACATTGTACAAGTAATTATATGCCAGTATGCCTGTCAGAGTTAGTATGAGATCATTTTATCACTCCTAGTTAGAAAACATAATCAGAATGTGCTCTGATCAGTCTATTGCTTATCAACTATTTATGTTTGAGTTGGTTTTATTTACTTCATGACAATAAAAGAAATAGAAGTAAAGCATAATAGTGACAACTAAGCTCATGAAAACGTTAAAATACTGACATTGTCAGAGATTTTCCAAAATACTAACTGCAGTATACAGCTTTGTAATATGTTTTCATTAAAATGTATTTATAGCCAAGCAGAGGCCATAAAGAGCAAGGTATGTGATGTACCTTTTGGTTCAGGGGAAGCCTGGATTTCCCGCCAGAATCTACAGGACCTCTATCAGAAGCTGATGCTTATAGATCTAGAGTATGCTCTTGATAAAAAAGCAGAGCAGGATTTGTAAGTCTTATTTTTTACTTCTTTTCTAATTTTCTAATTTTGAACTATAGTTCCTTGAATTTTGGAGTAAGAAATAAAACTTCAAATGCTTATGAATACTTAAGTGAGGGATATACTGTATTGGTCAACAAATTTGTTTGCTCCACTAACATATTATTAATGAATCTCTTTATTAGTGAAACACCTCCACATTGGAACAGTATTTTTAGGTAGCCAAGGTATCAACATACACAACTTTTGCTGTTCTGTATGGTAGATTAATGGATGCTATGGTACCATAAATCAAATGATTATACAGTACAAACATGTATTTACTTTTTCACAGGTGGAATTATGCATTTAAGAACCAGATCAATACATTTCAAGCACAGACCAGAGATAGACAGGTTTGTTAAGAGAAAATAATTAAAACAAATTTGAGGGCTTTCCCTAGCAGTGTGCAATAAGGTGCTGAGGCCTTATTCATGAAGCTTACGTATGGCCACGAACCTGACATAACGGTTGTTTGACCGCCTTTTTTGTATTCAGGAAGGTGACGTAAGCTCGCGCACTCTTATGCCGTCATACAAACACTTTACGATGTTTGTAAAATAGATAGAATCTTTCATGACAGATTTGATCCATTGGTGTATGACGAAGTTATAAGACGGTATCGACTCCAAATGGATGACCTTATTCCCGGATGTAGGGCTGGGGCAGTTAGTCATTTGCAAATGTATGTGATACTTCTAACCAAATAAATGATAATCAATATTGGGTGATTTCTACAATAATATTGATTGAACCTCTGTTAACTATGCTACTATTCCAACAATGTCGACTAAATATTTAAAAAAAATTAAAGAACTTCACATTCTGACTCAGATATGTGTGGACATTGGCCAGAAAAGTGTAAATTCACAATGTCACACTGACATTTACAGGTGCCCATGTGGCTAACATGTGTTTTAAACATGATACGATCGGTTCGTGTTCATATTTTGACGCACATAGTTTTGTGAATAAGACGGTATCGTATCGCAAATGTATACGTTACGAGAGGTTTGCAGGTTTGTATTTGTTTACTTCATACGTATTTACTATGATGGCTTCATGAATAAGGCCTCTGAGCACATTTGAGGTTTTGAATTATATTCCATCCTGCTTGTTGAGGGAATCTTGCTATGGGATGATGTATTTCAATTTTATACAACCAAACAGTGTTTTTTCTTAAAATTGATTACAAAATTCCAAGAGATTTCCAATATTGAAGGAAATACCCAAAGGTTTTCCATCATTTTGAAATGAATACAACACCCCTTCAAGAAGATCTCTGACACTGTTCACTGGATATACTTTTTATATTAATTTCTATGAATACAATAAAATATGATGAGTTTACTTTAAACTTTTTGTGTGTTTGCTACACGTAGCACATTCAAGAGGCATGTAATAATGTGAAAATATCAGATTGATGTACATCTATGTTATTTTGCATAAACACTTCTTGGATTATTACGAATAGTGAATATTATGCTACTTTTCAGAGTTCAAAACGAGGTGCAGTTCAAGCCAGATTAAACCTTTTCCTCGACAGTGCAAGTGGATTTTATCTGCAGGTAAAATACAGTTGTTCCTAAAAAATAAGAAAGAAGTTCAAATGGATAAAGAATTCAAAATGTTGGAAGCAATTTTTCAAGAATTATATCATGTCAGTATTTCCCTTACAATCCTAATTCTATGTTTTTTGAAAAACATCAATGGAGATATCTGAAATAGCACTGTTGGATTGGATGGGTTGAATTGTCTAACATTCATTGACCAATAAATGAACATGATGTAGTATGACTCAGTAATAAAAGCATTGGCATTAAAACCTGTAAACTATACATTCATACATATTTTCAATAAATCATCATTCATTCTTTCAAATTTCATTTCAGCTTTTACAAGAGTTAAGCAGTGCATTCAGCCTAGATCTGCCCTTCAGGAGGAAGAGCCCATGCTTTGGCATATTGAAAGGTAAATAAGGGTTCCTGTCATTTTGGCAATGATGCTGCTACCCCTTGAATACCCAACGTGATCAGATATATCAGTCACAAAATATTTCACCAAAAAGACTCCAAAAAATAGAAAAATACATGTATGCAAAAAGAAATTAAAACATTGTAATTCTTTGATTATTATATTGATGAAATAATTTTGTTCTTTCAGAGAGAGCTCCTGTCAATGGGAAGATCAAGATTCCAAAGAAAAGTTCCTGTTTGTATGTTTGCCAATACTGTCTCGTACATTTGGGTGATATAGGTAGGTCTTGGTTATCCCATGTGTTGATTAAGGCTTCAAAGTGACCATAAATATATCATGAAGAGTAATATTTGAGAAGCAATCTTTCCATGCAAATCTATTGCTTATAATCTTAAATTTAATATTTGGAAAAAGATCTTTTATATTTTATCAATGAAATAATTGATGTCCACTTAAGATGCAGAAATATTAAAAATTGATTAAGTTCTAAAAAGTAGGTGACCTCATTTTTGTCTTAATTATTTCCACAATTGAATTAAATTGAGGGAAAATTCTTGAATCAATTAAAAAATATGTACCTAAAAATGTTGATAGTAGAAACATTGCCAACTGAAAATTTCATAAATAGATCAACCTTACAGTTCTTTCTTCATTTGCGATTGATAAAACCTATTGTCATAATTCCATTACATTGTTACCATAATTGTGTTGCGATGTCTTGAGGTTGCTATAAGTTTGTACTGTTACCATGGTTGCCATTGACACACATTTCTCACCCATTTTCCTTTTCCATTTTTAGCTCGATACAGACAAGAAAGTGAACAGGCGGAAACATATTACAGGCATGCAGCGAACCTGGTCCCATACAATGGCCAGCCTTATAATCAGCTGGCCATCCTTGAGGCCGCTAAGACACACAAACTTGGCACAGTCTTCTACCATATAAGGAGTATTGGGGTCCGGCACCCCTTCCTTGTGGCTGGCACCAATTTGGAGAAGTTCTACTCAAAAATAATTAAAGAATCGTAAGTTTGATTATCTTGTTTATTTCATTTGGTATAAACCCCAAAATGGCATACATTCCATCATGTCTTGATATCAATTAGTAAAATGAATTGCTCAATAATCTCTTTGTAATAATTTTTGAATTTGATTTGTTTCATCAGTTTATTTCATTGATATCATTTTTATCCATGATGTAGCTTCAAGAAATCTGATTCTCTGTTGATTTAACCTGTAATCACTCGCCATTAGATCCAGATTGTAGAATCTGTAATACACACTCCAGCTCATCATTTTGAATTTGTTGAAAAACATCTGAAAGAATGTATTTCACTTGGTAATATTATTTCAGTTACATATATAGTTGATTTTTCATTTTAGGCTGGAATTCAAGAATAGGCTGTCAATGACGGATATAATCTCTTTTTTCCTACAATTTCATGGTCTGGTTCATTTAGCTACAGGTAAAGGTTGAGATAATCTATACCCCTAACAGTTGCATATATGAGAAATTTTCATCACAGCAAGATATCTGCAAAATTACAAAATTCAAAATATTCAGCAATTGTGTTGATGTTTCATGTTTAATATATGGAAACTTATCAAAGCATTCCACATACAAACATAGTTCATAATCAATTGGAGAGCTCTTATTTCAGAACCTTTCTCAAAATGCTTACCAGATTGAGCAACCAGATAATTCCACTATCAAACAGCAATAAGTCACCATAATATGTTTGCACAATTGATATTTTGGGAAAAATCACAGAATTTTATCCATCAGAATATACTTTTTTCTCAACACCGGTAACTTGAATACGTGTGCATTGTCATAAAGTGCCAGCAATTTTTGAGATCTTTTATGAGAATTCCAAAAATTATCTTGCTCAAAATTGAAAATCCATTTCATCTACTTGTGCATTTAAAAAATGTTATGTGAGCTCTGTGCTGTCCATGTTATTTAATTCATTTGAGTTGAATTAACTAATATGAATCAATGTGAAAATGCAACTTTAATCTTACACCTGATATAAACCAGTATGTTTTCCAGGTTTAGAAAGGGCGAAAAAACATTCAGAGCGCCTTTTGCAGAGTTTATCTACCCACATCACATCCATGAGTTTCTCTTCATACCAACTCATACAGATTATGGCAATAAATCTATTCGCCATGTTCCATGCAGAGCGCCAACTTGACGGAGAAACGGATAAACATGAAAAATTGAGTCAAGATGAAGAGAAATGTCAAGATTTGTTATTCACTTTTACTGGTATGTTTTTGGATGGTTGAAGTTGTTAAACTTTTATAATAGAAATTTTCACATTTAGATAGTTATAAACTTTCATAAATTGCATTTAAAAAGCAATTAAAAGCCATGCTTATTATTATGAATTTGTTACTTTACAGTTTGTCTCATGGACACTCTGCTACTGCATACACCTAAGCATGACCAGAAAGCAAAGGACTATCACACTTTACCAGCCATAAAACTGTTCCTTGACTGGCTTTCTTTGAACAAGAAACACCTTGAGAAAATATCACACAAGTCATCAACGTAAGTTGTTTATAGATTTCCATGTTCATCTTGCATTTTTATTTGGTTTATATACATCATCCAAAGGTCTGTGTGAGACCCCCATGCAAAAAGGGTGTTGATTTTGACAAATTAAAAATTTAACTGCCAAAGTCCCTTTCCTTGGAGCAAGTAGTGAGTCAATTTTCCCACCCTGGGGGCAACATCAGCTCATCAAATATAGTCAAAATTTTAATTACCTGGAATATGTGTTGAACTATATTATATGTAGGATTTTAAACATATCTCTCTACCTGCTATGATAGTGTCTCTTTCACACTAAACCAATATAGTATTTTTACACTAACCTAACACTATGTCATTTACGCTAATCCAATGCCGTTGAAATCAATTATTTTATTTACAATATTTATAAATACTAAATGAGAAGAACATCAAACTGACATCCACTAATTTTACTCAATCTTGAATTTAACCTTGAGTTTTACTCAAATTAGTGTCACTCAATCTTGACTTGCATATTTGTTAGATTCTGGCCGAACTTAGCCAAAGTTCTGAACAGCATTCAGTACAACAACCAGAAGGATTCACTGGCTGAAACCCTTCACAATTGTAAGTACATCAACTTATGTTATTTCATATGTTATGTCTGTTTATATCATCATGACAAGTATGATCTCCTTTAAGCGACCAATTTTATTTCGCAAAAATCTGGATTTCATACCTCTTTCAATTTTAATCAAGAAAAATCTGGTTTCATATACCGCATGAAAAATATAGAAATATTAAGCAAGAAGGATATTCTTCTACATTAAATTATATGCTACACAAAACCATCAACTTTATAATTATAGTTACAATAGATTAGGGATTAGGTATCAACATATCTCATTGTTTTCCATATTAAACTGTCACTTAAATCTAGATTTAACCCATAAAAAATATTTACTGTTAGTAATTGAAATATGAAAAAATGTTTGATCTTCATTGATAGATTAAATGCAGATTGAAAATGTTTTGTTTGTTTAGATCTCCATAGCCCACTTCCAGAGGACCTGGAACTGCAATGCTTTCTGCCAGTCACTAAAGCACATAAGTAAGACGTGAATAAATCCTCATGTTGATCATGCCAATTTCACACATTTTCTCTCTGAAACATGAAAGAACTGCTTGATTATCCAGCAAAACTATTCTGCTTGTTTTTTACATCTTTTTTATTGCTCATAAACTCCAGTGCTTATGCCTTTATAAGAATTTTAAAATACGTCTAACTTAAAATAATTGTGAGAAAAATATAACAAATCAAATCTTATTGAAAATGTAATTAAATATAATTATCAACCAAGGGACCATCTTGAAAATATCAAAACTTACAATTTCATTTTCATTCACTGTTACTATAATGCATATTGAATATGATCTGCAATTTTATTGTATATTTATATTCTCTAAATTGTTAGCAACTACAGTGTGTCTCAGAAAAAATGTTACACTTACAAAAAGTTCAATATCTTTCATGATTTTGAATTTTCCCCTAAAATATACTTAGATACCAAAAGACCAGTCTTTTTCAAATAAATCCACACTATTAGATTCAAAATCCATCCATGATTGGCTGCACAGGTCAGATTTTACAGACGCATATGAAATCTGATTTGCGCCAACTTCTCAGTGATTGGACATGTAGTGATCAATTCTTTTTTGGTGTGAACTCTGTGGACAGTGATATCTTAATATGATCAATGATCCAGGTGTTTTTTCCTGGATAGTAATACAAGATTCCATTATCAGGTACCAGGTATTCAATTTTGTTACGTATGATGGCAACAGGATGGTGCAAATACCTATGGCAGATCGTTTGGAAGAACTCTTTGGAAATCAGAGGATAGCATTGAATTACCCAATTGATTGGCCCCGTTGTCATGCCACTTTACACCCTTGATTTTTTGAAGGGCTTCTGAAAGCGCTTTACAGCATCACAAACTGACCTAAATGAACTTCTGCAAAAATAATTGATGGAATCAGTGTGATATTACAATGCGTGTGCGCATAGGCAAGGGTACCTCAGATTTGCTTTGGAGAACATGTTGAGGGGACCACATGTTTATGTGGATAGACCCAATGATCATATGTAAGACAAATAGGAAAATTACATAATGACTCAGTTAAAGGTCAAGCTTCAACTCAGAAGAAAGTTAAATGTTAAAGAAACTGTTCCTCTTTTGTCATTTGGTCCATCCAATCACTTAGAAGTTGGCGCAAGTCGGATTTTACCATGGGACACTAAAAGCTGCCCTGTGCAGTCAATCAAGGACAGATTTTGAATCTGATGGTGTCAAATTATTCGAGAAAGATTTGTCTTTTGATATCCAAAGTATATTTTAGGGAAAAGTCAAAATTATGAAAGATATTGAACTTTTTGTTAGTGTAACATTTTTTTGAGACACACTGTATAGAAAAGGTCCAACGAAACTATTTCTGACACATTTGATGGAGCTTGTGTTCCCGCAGAATGATTGTGGCCAGTTTGTATAATTGATTACACTATTTATACTCAATGCTTCAGGGAGTACAATTTCCAAAGAGTCTCGAAGGAAGAGATGTCCGCAGATATGGAAGTGAGGCTAAGGTGTCATCGTATTGTAGAACATGGCAGAAAATTATGTGAATATAACCCGAGGTATGTTATGGGATAGTTTTGTTCACTTTATTGAACTGTGCATTTTCATTGGGCTATAACTGGTTTATATTATTTATTTATATTACTACTTGTGTGTACATACATGTACATTGTATTCCTGACATTATTTTAAAATAATAGTTTGTAGTTGTTCATTTTTTATCATCCACTCTGTCTCTGCTCCTTCCTTTATCTTTCAATGAGGAGTACTTATGCATTGTTGGTGTCTCATGAATCTTTCAATGATGAGTATTCATTGTATGCAAAACAAGTGTCTCGTGATATTTTGAACTTTGATGATGTCTAGATGCTTCACTCAGAGGATGATAAAATTGTTACTGGCGAATCTTAAAATGGCATAAAATGTTTTGTTACTAATTCATTTCAGTTTGAATATCATGAATGTTACCACAGGCAAAAATGGGAAGCTGCAATTTTCAACACCAACTGCTCAAATACGTCTATTGCAAGGTCAGTTTACACATTTTTATTAAGTTCACATATATTATATCTCACTATATCACAGTCAAGCTTTCTGTTATGATTGGTCCAATCCATGTCACATAACACAAAAGATTTTAAACATGTTATTGAAAATGGCAGACCACAGATTTATATTCAGTGAAAGAGAAGGCAATTACAATGCTCTTTCCTCTAGGCTTTATGATAAGAGTTCAGAATGAAAAGAGTTGATGAATTACTTTAGGTACAGATGGCACTCCAGAGAGGCGCTCTCAGAGACAGAATGTTGCAATACAGGCGATCATGCAGCACAAGCAAGGTCAAGGTGGGGGACAGAAAACGATCAGACCATCCCAACCAGCTCCCAGTAGTCAGGTAACTATCTATTTATTATTTCAGCACTCAGAAGCTTTGGCATATTGTTTTATCCAGTTGGTGCCAGTGTTTAGTGTTTGTAACTGTTAATTTAATTACTAGGTCATGACATTTTGTCATGTTAATTCCTTGTTTCTTTTTTACATGTGAATTTATTCAATCAGTTCCCAAAAGTATACATATAATTAATTGCCAGCTTTATCAAACATTTGCCGTACTTTTCCTGTTTCCAATTGCCACATTTATTTGATCTTAATAAGTTCTGAAGTAATATGTTTTTTATGTGAAGCTGGGCTGGAAGCAATATTGTGAATATGCTATAGTATTGTTCTGCCAAATATGTAATAATAGGGTGAATAGATAAATTGAAATATACAGGGTGTCTCAAAAAATGTACCCAAAGTATATCACCAGCACAGCTAAACCAATCAATATTTTCAGACATTTTTTACATGGTCATGTAGCTAAAATTTTCTCCCCAATATGCAGTTTTGAGTTCAATCTTGCCTTTTTGATGTTTTAACCACTTACTTTTTTTCATATTTCTTTGACAGCCTGCCTCCTTATGCTACATTGTTCATCACATTTGATAATGTTTCAGGTAGAATGTTTTGAATTTCTCTTTGGACGTTAGCCTTACATTGTTCTTGGTCTTTTGACTTGGGATTAGCTTTAAAATGCTCCTTCAAATATAATAGCCCCAGAGAAAGAAGTTCGACGGTGAAGACAACAGAACAATCACAGAGAACCAGGTCAATTATCATGAAACGATCTAGCAGTTGATAATGGAGTTCCACCTTCCAGAGTTGTAGAGACTGATTGATATCCAAATGAGAACACTGTAGTCTCAAAAAGATTGAGTCCCTCCATGTACAGCAAGGGCCACACAAGAATTCCCATGAAAGCAGTTTCTTCAATCTTCTGATCTCTATGTATAAAGACATTGCAAGGCCTCCCTATTCAACATTACTTTTTCTCTGGGGTAACTTGAAGAACCATATTTATGCTATTCCCAAGTCAAAAGACCTAGAACAACTTAATAGGAGAACATCTGAAAAGAAATTCAAAACATTCCACCGAAACATTATGAAATGCGATCCTCAATGTAGCAGTAAGGATGCAGGCTGTCATCGAAATATGAAGATGTTAAATTTAACACATGGTTTAAAAAGGGTTAAGGCATTAAAAAGGCAAGACTGAACTAAAAATTTAGTATTGAGGAAAAAACTTGCAAAAACCATGCAAAAAATATCTGAAAATATTGATTGGTTTATCTTTGCTGTTGATATGCTTTTAGGTACATTTTTTGAGATACTCTATATATATGCCAGTTCTTGCTTTTATCTCAAATGAATGTAAAATCCATATACATGTATGTACATGCCAACCTACTGAAACTATTTCCTCACAAAAAGAAAAATCCAGTACTAGGAAAATTTATGAATAATTTTTAAAAACCTACTTGAAAAATTTCAAGAGGCTTAGAAATGTAAAAAGCTATTGGAACTATATCTTAAACTTTTTTACTTTCAGGGACCAGATGTTCCACTTCAACTTGCTCCAAGTCAAACTCCTGGTCTCCTTCAGGGTGTTCGTCAACATTTTCCTACCCCCAGAGTTCCTCGACCTCATGACATAGGTGCTTCTAATGCACCCCATAGTGTGAAGTGGGGCCAGCGGCAGATGTCCCCCACATCACAGGCGTCACCTATTGGTCAGATTCCTATGCAAGTTGTTGTACAAGCTGGTGGTGGTGGTGGGCCTCAAGCTCAGTCACACCATCTTCCAAATCAGGGAGTACCCCAGGGAAAGCAGGGCAGTAAGGGAATGCCCCAGGGAAATCACCAAGTTAACCAAGGAATCCCCCAGGGAATTCCACAAGGCAACCAAGGAATGCCCCAGGGAATCCCACAAAGCAACCAGGGAATGCCCCAGGGGAACCAGCCACAGTTTGCAAGCCAGGGGTCTCAAGGACGTTTTACAGCCCCAAGTAGTCAGCTGATGAATCAACAGCATCAATTGATGTTCAGCATTACCCCACAACAGTTATCTGACCAGCAACAACAGCATGATGTCAGGATGCCACAACCTGATGTCAGGATGGCACAGCATGATGTCAGAATGCCTAGAGCTCAGGTTTCTATGGTTTACATTTTTACTTAACAATCTAACCATAATACAGTTATTTTATAAAAACAAAGTGAAATACCTCTATTATAATCATTTAGCATTTTATTGGTTTAAAATTGAATGGATCTCCTGTATAATTTGTAAAGGTGAGAGGACGAAATACTCCAGAATTTGCTGATGAATCTATCTCCATCTTTACATGGGGATGTGGCCATCTATTAAATATGGGTAATTCCCCTCTTTGTAAAGGTAAAGTTTCGCAAATTTTATTTAAGGTTGCTATGGGAGCACAACCTCCAAGCAGAGCTCCCCAGAGATTCCCCCTTCAGCAGCAGCAGAATCTCTCCTCCCAGCAAATACACAATCTCCAGTCATCTCTCCAGCAGCTGCAGGGAGGTAGTGGTAATCCCCAATCACAACCTATGGTATCTAGCACTAACCAACAGCAACAGCTAAGGCCAGGTAACCCTCACACAGGAGGTGGGCATTCCCAGGGTCTAAGCTTACACTCTCAACAAGCCATGGGTGATAATGTTAACAACAGCGCAAGGAATATGCCTGGTTTCCTAGGGAGTCAACAGATGTCTTTACAGAACCTACAGGTACAGGCTGCCCTACAGTCGGGCATCCAGCTGTCTATGGAGCAACTGTCAGAGCCATCTATGGGTAGCCAGAGCCAGATTGGGTTAAGAGCCATGCAACCTGGAGCTCCTATTATCAACATGCGTTCTGACCCTGGATGGGGATTACGAGTGAGTCATGTATATATACATTTTCTTCTCCACTTTGAAACATGGTGACATGATTATTGGAACAATGATTTCCTTCATGAGAATGAATGAATGATTTTTTACAGAATCTTTATGTTAGTATTGTAGTGTAAAAGAGGTAGTATAAAGAGTTTCATTATTTTTCATTACTGATTAGTTTTGGGGCATTCTTGTATATAAGATTTCAAACCAGTCTCAGATGATTGATCTGAAATTTTTAGAGCTGTTTCTTAGTGTAAAAGTCTAGAACTGAAGTTTTGGGTATCTAGTGATGTTGTTTGATATGAAACTTTTCAAGTGACTAGTCTTTGGGGAATCTAGGCTCATTTTTAGGTGGTCATTATGGACTTTCTGTTTCAACAAACTTGTAAACCATTTTATGGATTATATGTGAAATTGTCAGGAATACTTCTTGGTATGAGAGTCTAACATTGATATATATTTGGGAATTCTGGATAAATTCTTAGGTGGCCACTTTCACACCGGAATAGCCTGACAACGTTAAAGTCAGATACCGTTGTCACAAATGGCGGACATAACCATCGCTTCAACTGTTTTATCACCTGGTCCTCATTTCATGGGATTTTATCATCGCTAATTCTGTGCATGTATTAAGCTCTTGTGATGATGTGTCATATGAAATCCCAATTCCGATCAAATTGGGTCGTGAATCGCCACAACGGAATCTGAATTTGAGTAATTTAGAAAGACAACGGCATATGGTAATTACAGTGTCCGTTGTCCCGTATCTCATTTTGATCGGTTAAAGTAAAGACTTTATTTCGATGGTAGAACATTATTAACTGTACAGTGAGTATTAAGACACTTTGAATGATTGTTGTTCCAAAGGAATTTAGTCGAGGTGCTCTATTAAACATACAGTTCATGAAAATCTAATTGAAGCGATGGTTATGTCCCCATTTGTGACAACGGTATCTGACGTAACCATTGTCAGGCTATTCTGGTGTGATTTTGAATTTTCTATTCTGTAAAGTCAACGAATTTCCGTGCAAATGTCTGAAAAATATTGATTATTCAATCCCATAATCATCAAAATATTGCCAAACTTTGATTAATCCTTACTGGTATTCTATTCAAGGGTGCAATATTGTTCACCCTGTGTCTTGTGTGCCTTTGGGTTGATACAATCATGACTGCTCTCGTTCTAGATTCTATTTATTTCACATTAAGCATACGCCTTATACTCTATTCATCATTTGTAGGGTGCCCAGAACCAAGACCTTGGTTTCCCTCCACCTCCTATGTTGCATCATGGGTACTCTGGTGGTCCTCCTAAACCTGACAGTCCACCACGATTGGAGGAGCTTGCCCATTCCCGGGACCGCAATGTAAATAGTGCCACCTATAGTCTGTTCAGTCAGTCTCCATTGTGGGCACCTCAGATATCAGCAGGAAATAATGATTCAAGTAAGTATTCCTTCTTGAATTACGATACTACAGTTTACATCACAAATCAAAGAACTACATTTATTTATATGATACAGGATGTGTTGTTTTTTGGTAATGTGAACTGGACTGAAATTCTTTTATCTGTTCTTGCACGAACATGTACAGTAAAAACCTTTTCCATGGAAAGTTCTTTAATCATTTATCATAACTTTTTCAGGATATGAGAATAAATTTCATCATTCTACCAAAGCAAAATATTGCTAGAAAATCCGTGGCATTAATGTGGACTTATAATAGGTTATAGTATTCATTTGGATTTTGGTATATATTTAATTTTTGATATGAAAGATCTCGCTAAATATTGTTCAAAAAGAAAACATTTTGATAGTTATCATTTCAGATTAATTCATTCTATTATTTTAAAGGTTCAAAGTCATCACCATTGGAGTCTCAAGAAAACAGTCTCCGCTCCACACCAGATGTTTTGTCTGATGGTATACCCCAAGGTGGGTATATCGCATATGGCCTAGGGGGCCCAGGGGATGGGCGCTGGGGAGGACAACCCCCTAATAGAGGACCAGAGGGGGCTGCACCACCCAACAGTGCCGGACAAAGAAATATGCAGGTGAGTTTCATAGTTCCAGATTCCTTTCACTACCATTATTTTTTACAATTACAAAACTAGGCTGGTCAAGTATCACCAATTTTTAAAAGTCTACAATTTTTGTTATTCTAAACTATGGTGGCTATTTTGAGGCTAATTTCTAGTATTGTTGTCTGACATTCATTAGATGTTCCATGGAATTTGCTAGGCCTTGGCATTGCAGTTATCTAGTTATATTATCGATATCTAGTGCTAATTATCCCATAGAACGAAGTTCGGAGGGATATAGGGAATGCCTCCGTCCCTACGTCCGTCCGTCCAGGCAATAACTCAAATACCGCTGGCCCGATTTTGTTCATATTTTGTACACATATACCCAATGGGGGTAGAAGTTCTGCTCGAAAACCAATTTTCAAAATGGCCACTCAAAAAAAATGGCGGCCATTTTATACAGTAATTTAGGTACTGCATATTAAACTGTAATAGCAATATGTTTTAAATGTAAAAAGGTTATATAAAACATTGATTAAGCTAGAAATGTAAATATAGAAGAAATACATGGCAGCCATCTTGAAAAATGGCTGCCTTTGCACGTCATTTTATGATTTTTGCTGTAACTTGAAAAGTAGTGAAGCGATTTTGTTCATATTTGGTATGTGAATACTTAAAGCATGCCACATTGTCTAACCAGAACAACGGCAACGCCAAAGCGTAGCGAATCCCATCGAACAGCCATGGATGGCATTTTTACAAACAAAATATATAGCAAAAATGGCAGCCATTTTTCAAAATGGCCACCTTCTACTAAAAGTGTCATTAGACCATGTGCCATACTTATAGTATTCACATACCAAATATGAACAAAATCGCTCCACTACTTTTCAAGTTATAGTAAAATACGTTAAGATGGTGGCCATTTTTCAAAATGGCCACCTTCTACCAAAAGTGTCATTAGACAGTGTGCCGTGCTTATAGTATTCACATACCAAATATAAACAAAATCGCTCCACTACTTTTCAAGTTACAGTAAAATACGTTAAAATGTCAAATTTTTTTTCAAAACGGCCGCCTTCTACCAAAAGTGTCATAGGACAGAGTGTCCTGCTTATAGTATTCACATACCAAATATGAACAAAATCGCTCCACTACTTTTCAAGTTATAGTAAAATACATTAAAATGGCGGCCATTTTTCAAAATGGCCGCCTTCTACTAAAAGTGTCATTAGACAGTGTGCCATGCTTATAGTATTCACATACCAAATATGAACAAAATCGCTTCACTACTTTTCGAGTAATAGTAAAATACGTTAAAATGGCGGCCATTTTTCAAATCTTTTTTCAAAATGGCCGCCTTCTACCAAAAGTGTCATAGGACAGTGTGTCATGCTTATAGTATTCACATACCAAATATGAACAAAATGGCTCCACTACTTTTTGAGTTATAGTAAAATACGTTTAAATGGCGGCCATTTTTCAAAATGGTGGCCATTTTTTAAAATGGCCGCATACTTCCAAAAGTGTTTTTAGACAGTGTGCAATGTTTGTAGTATTCAAATACAAAATATGAACAAAATCGCTCCACTACTTTTCGAGTTACAGCAAAAATCGTAAAATAACGAGTAAAGGCCGCCATTTTTCAAGATGGCTGCCATGTGCTTCTTTAATATCTACACTTCTAGCTTTATTAATGTCCTATATAATTTTTTTACATCTAAAACATATTGCTATTACAATTTTACATATTGCACCTAAATTACTGTAAATTCAGCACTAAAATGGCCGCCCTTTTGAAATGAGCGGCCATTTTGAAAATCGGCTTTCGAGCAGAACTTCTACCCACATAGGGTATATGTGTACAAAATATGAACAAAAATCGGGCCAACGGTATTTGAGTTATTGCTTGGACGGACGTACGTACGGACGGACAGACGGACGTCATTTGTTTTTGCTGCATTGGTTTCTTCATTTATTTTCTTCTTTCTTTGTCTTGATTTGATTGCGATGTTAGTTATCTTTCTTCAGGGTCCACAGACTTGAGACTGCGCATAGGTGGGTTAAACGTTTTGATCTGGCCGGAAAACTCTCCCCTTCCCCTTACTGTTGGTCTTATGTTGATTTGTCCTGTTAGTTTACCCTCTTTGCGGAGAATATACTGTTTCATATTCATTTGTTAATGTTCTCTTCTCTCGTTAATTTTCCAGTGCTTCGTGATGATATTCTCCTGCATATTGTATTTAGTACATAATCCATTTATTTCTTGTTATAGCTTTCTTAGTATACGAATTTAGTATGTTGCTCCTGTAGCCTTGACATTGTAGTTTATTTCCCAGGCTGGTAACTCTGTTTGTTGCATCTTCCAGTTGACTGCAGATTCTTGAAATCCTTATGGACGGACGGAGGGAGGTGTTCCCTATATCCCTCCGAAATTCGTTCGATGGGATAATAAAACTTTTCGGAGTAGTCGGCCATTTCGAAAAATGGCCATCATTTTTATGTGTGTTATTTTACATTTTTTATTATAACTCAAAAATTAATAGAGTGATTTTGTTCATATTTGATATGTAAATACTCTGTCTTATGACATTTTGGGTAGTAAGCCGCCATTTTTAAAAAACGGCCAGCATTGGCGATTTTTTAAGAATTTTATATGTGGCTTCTTAAAAACCTATTACTTTTTCTGATGGCAACTTGGCTAGTGATTAAGCATTTTTAAAATGGTGGCCTTTCTTATGGGAGTTATTTTATGATATTTGCTATATATTTCAAATGTAAAAATGCCAGCCATTTCTGTTCGATGGGATTCACTACGCTTTGGCGTTGCCGTTGTTCTGGTTAAATCATATAACAACAACAAAAACGACAAAAAAATAAAAATTCCATCACATTTTGCCTCTTTCATTATACACTGATTCATAAAAAATCTAATCTATTTTGCAGGGGCTATGGGCTTCAGGATTATCTCCATTGGAGAAGTTAATAGAGCAACAGAAACACCAGCGCCAAGACCCCCCACCCCCACCACATTGAAGGAAAAGACCCCTCCTAAAAAGGATGAAGATATGAAACCAACATGGTCAATGATAACCATAAATATAGAGCATGAATTTACTTCGTGGTTGATGAATTAACCATTGGTTAGAGATATGGTGTATGAATATGCTATGAGGTTTGGTTATGATATACCATGGTCAATGACTTAATGCCAGTTATGGTTTAAAATGGCTGAAAATATACAACAAAACCAAACCAGTCAGCTTTAACAAATGCTTTGGACAATGTAAAATATATTAGTGTAATGGCATTGCCAACCAAGCAAAATGGATTGTATATAGTTTAATCCATAGCAATTGCAAACTACATGTATATTCCAATATCCAAGGAAGCTATGCTGAAAAGGGTGTACCTAGCAAGTATACATACCTGTGGATGGCAATAACAAGTTCATCTTGAGACCAAGACCTTTTGTAACCATGGCATCCCTTTATCCCTTTCCTAAATTTAATTTAATGATTTAACACTTCTAATTTTAAACAGCTTGTATGACCATTGTTCACATTACTGGTGTACATATATACTCATGGCAGTCATTGTTCACATTACTGGTGTACATATATACTCATGGCAGTCAGTATTTTCTGTTTCACAGCTTGTTCCCTAATTCCCATTATTTTAGTAAATACATCTGAAAGAATATGTAAATTAACATGTGTCTATGCTATTACATGAATTGAGAGTTACCTGTTTATACGCCCTCACTTTATAGATGTAGAGAGACTTAACATTTTGCAAAATAGTCTGGCAAAGGGTAGAAAATTGTTTCTCTAGAACCTGATGATCTACCCTCTTAGATAAAACAATTGATATATTGATGTGTGCCCAAAAATGTAAACAGTTATCAATGTCGATGGAGCAAAATCAACTACATTTCACTGGCATGCATTGATTTCTTAAAAAATGATTGATAAATGTTCTGTTGGGGGACGAGGGGATCAATCTGAAATGAAAGTAATCATATTTGGGAACAACACCTAAATATTGACCTGGTCCCTTGTAATGTATTTACTGGTCCCTTGTAATGTATTTACTGTCTCTGATAAATACTGCTGTTGCTGTATACTAGTAACATTAATTGGTAATTGGTTTCAGATTTAATTATTTAATACTAATAATTTATAATATATAAACTATTCGATTGCCAACACTTGAATTCATATATACGATAACATACACATTCAGTTTTACCAGTTTTTAATACTGTATGTTTCAAATGAATGAAATTATGCATTAGCCATGTAAAATATAAGGCAAAGTTTATTTAATTTATGGATTTATTCTATGAAGTTAACCACTTGTAGAGAATATTTTCAAACACTGCAACTGATTCGCTGCCATTGATCAAATCTTGGTCAGCCTATATTAATGTATTATGGAGCTACATGTATATTATACTTTACTATTGGGTCTACATTTGTTATTGTTATTAACAGGTTAAGTTGTCCCACTGGGATAATTGTCCCCTTCTATGTGACATAACTGGCCAGGATTGAGTATAAACTGTAAGGACATTATTGTAATTAGTACTGTATTCACCTCTGTATATATTGATGGAGAGGCATCTATCCACAAGTCCAAGACTAAGCTCAAAATAAACATTGTTTTTTCATTGGGGTTATTACAACCACTGAACTATCAAGGCTGGACCCCCTAAAATGGTCATAATAAGATATAGCAAAAAGGATGAAATGAAAGCTGTGATAGAAGTTAAACTCCGTGATGACATATAGTTCTATGCAAGCAAACCTTGAAGAAGCTTGAAGTTGAAATGACAGAATTGCAATACAATGAGAAGGAATGTTAGGAGGCGTGAGGAATATTGATTGAAAATAGATAATGGCATAATGAAAAAAGTATGTCTACTGTGTGAAGTGGTGATTTATAATAAAAAATAGCAGAAAATTTAACCTGTATGCGACCAGGTTTTCTACATGTAGTAGTATATTAAGTCCCTGTGGAAGTGTATTGGTTAGTAGCAGTAGATGATGGGGGTAAATTTTATACCCCAAAACCCCCCATTTCCTGTTATTAATATATTTATAAGCATTATTTGATTCCAACATCACTGTGCGGTATCCAAACTGCGCACATACTATGCATGCAGTTTGAAACCCTGACAAACTGCGCGCATATTTAAAAATGGCAGATGGAGAGGACACAACTCTCATAAGGATGAAAAGTACTGGAAATACAAGGTTAATTTTGTTTATCAGACATTACCATTATGTGGAGACTAGCTTACTTTACAAGTAGCACTTGATTTTTTTTCCTAGTTATCTCAATATAAGGTTCCTAATGAGCTTTCATGTTCAAAATATACAGTGTTGCGTCATAATGTCTATTTGTCGTAATTTGAAGTTTATTCAGCCCTTGTGTTTTCATATACTGAAAGATACAGGATTGCTGCATAAAGTTTAAGTAATATAGTATTTTCTATTTGTGTGAAAAGTGTGACATCTTAACTTATGTGTCGGTAATCAAAAAAAAACCGATGACAATTTTTTATTAATCTGCTTATACTGGTATTTTAAAACCTACGTTCATCTATCACATGGTCTAATTGCCACCGAATAGACGTATGAAACAATAAAACAATGCAGAATAAATGTCTTAAAATGAAGTTTGAAAACACTTGTATGATGCAATGTTGATATGCACGTAGTTTGGATACCGCGGGGTGAACATGCCTCGACAGTTTAGTGACATTTTTATTGATAATTACATGTGTATATATTAATAGTATTGTTAAATGAATAAGTAGGGAAGGATGAATTAATTATTTTAAATATTTATTTGCAAACATCATAAAGCATTGGAGTTGATTAGATGAATGTGCATAATTTTGTCCTTAATATTGGCATCCTCCAAATGTAGTGAGAGTAAGTTCTCCACCCATTTAGTGGATGAGTTTTTGTATCCCTGCATTTGGAGATTGTTATTTATCCAGGTAATCAAAAGGGGGAATATCCCAGAATTCCTATAAACTATCTCCTTGTAAAGATGAACATTTAGGTTCCGCATGACACAAAGGTAGGTTCATTTGTGCATTCTGGGGTATTTCTTCAGCTTTATCTTAAGCATCATTGGAAAATTTGTATGACTTTGAAGAGTGAATAAAGGTATAAATGGGTATATAAAACTTGTTGATTTTCTTTATTGTGCTAATGAATACAGTATGATATGTATGATGTATAGACATTTGAGATAATAATTCTAGAATGTAACATAAAGCTCTCTTTCAAAGCGTAACTAGCCTATTACCAAATTCTTTCAATATTCCGGCTGGCAAGTTGCAGCTTTTCATATTTATATATCACCCTGTGCATTTTACCGCACGAAGATTTATCAAGATGGAAAAACACAAATTGTAGTTTAGTATGATGTTTATTCTACAGCTACAACTGTACATTCACTATAGCATAGCGCCATCTATATTATAGTCATGTTTACACTACTTCTACACCTGTACACTTTGATTACATCCAATATTACACTTGGAGTAGATCCAACTTTACACAAAAATATCAACACTAAAACCAGCCCCTCTACATGTCAATAATGAAGATACATAATTCTTTTGAATTGATACTAAAACCGATAATATCAATAATATCGTACCTGTCTAAAACAACGATTCAACAATTTGAATTTAACAGTTGATTTAGACTTGCAGTTCCCATCAATATTAAAATGTTGATTTTAAACTGAAGGTATACAATTGAACCAGTCCACCTCTGTTTGTGAACAATAAGATAATGTTATTTGAATATATATGATAGCATAATTCATCATGCATGTACTTACTATACATGCATTTACAATTACATATCCTCCATTTTTAACATATTGATAAGGCTGTAAAATATCCACTAAACTTAAACAAATTAATTAGGTTTTCAAGAACAGGACTGTGTCCCAGTTTCTTTTGTTATTATTTAACAAATATACATTATTGCTCTTCAAAGTTTTGTTAGAATCTTCAGATGGCTTTATCACCAAGTTAAATATCTACATAATAAATTATGTCCATAGAAATCTAACATTAACTATATGTATGATATCCTATGATTTTACCAATTGATATCTACCAAATTCAAAGGATATTATATAAATAGTAAACATTATACTATTAGTAATAATTACTTTAATATGATTTCCTTTTAATATGGCAGATAACATTTTCCTCAAAGAGGGGATATTGATACCTGATTTAGATATACCTTCAGAAGTTGAATGTTTTATCAAGTACTACTGATATCAAACAATCAAATAATATACAACTGTGAATATATGTTGATGTTCTCCACATGTAATGATGCTCAATAGGGAAGTGATGTTTATTAATAGATGGCAGCATTGTGTTAGGTTCAAAATGACATTACAAAATGTCACAACATTAAAGAGGTTTTGCATAATATGCTTTTAGCCTCCAGCAATTCGATATAACTTTCCTTGAATACATTATTAGGCTACATCATTATACAAACCCTCTCTGATTTTGAATCAGCCTTAATGCAAAAACAGATGTTCAAATAAGATTATTTTTAGTTTAAATATCCTGATGCACTATTCCCAAGTTCATTAAAGCAAAATGTATTAGTCATACACCAGGAAGAAGTGAGTAACCCTGTCATGAACTGCCATCTATATGAGTCACCAAGCATGATAGTGCATCCCCTAAAATATTACCTAAGACATATGTAAATGTATACATAAATTTAGACATATTGTAAACTTTAATCTTTATATAAATTATTTTATATCATCTTACACTTATGATTGAAATGTACATACCTTTTTCAAAATTTCAAAATTAAAGCTTGCAGCTGTGTGTTAATGAGAAAGTTCTCATCTCCAGCTTACTTGCTTTTGATTCGTATAAAACAATACAGGTCTTTTATTAATGTTTCATTGGAAGCTGACGTCTGGCGAGTTGGCCCATCTGATACCAATTGAGCTTAAATTATCTGTTATATTTTACAAAATTAATTCTGTTTTTACTGGGAACTGAAGCTTTCCCGTCTGCTGTATAAGAGATTGACAAGAATTAGTTACTCTTAAGTGGATGATACCAACTGCCTCGTGTACTGTATGTGCTTACCATGTGTCACAACAAAAATATATTACCACACAGAAAGCATATACATAATGTACAACCATTGTAAGCTTCCTACAACCATTGTGAGCTGCATACAACCATTGTGAGTTGTGTACAACCATTGCAAGCTTTGTACAACCATTGCAAGCTGTGTTCAATCATAGAAGGCCTAATCCAGCCATAACAAGCTTTGTACAAGTGACCTCCATGTCTATGAGCCACGGCTCAGTATTCTCAACCATCAAAATAAACCCCTCTACAAAACATCTTCTGAACTGGCAAATTTTTACCTTTTAAATTATTCAGTATTTTGCACAATGACACTGATTCCATTTGACATATTATTATGTAATGTCCTGTCCTTCATTTATCCTTACCAGTCATTTCATTGGATTTCAACTCCTGGTCTGCTATTTTCAATAACATGCGGTTTGGACAAATATACTCATGGGCAACCACTAAAGAATACCCAATTTTATGAGTATACCCGATGGTAGCCGAATCAGGGTAAACTTGTCAGGAAACTTATGTTAATTAACCGGAATACATATATTCATATACAATACATAGCAGTACATGTATTAATGAACTCTAGAGGGAGTTCACAATTGATCAACTACAAATTAATCTTGTGTTAGTACATTGAATTCAGCTAGCACCTTTTTATCATTAACATCTAGAGTGAAGTCACAAATGAACACATTTCAATTGTGAAATATTTTCATTACAGAAATATTTTATTTACAATAATGTTTAAAATCAGTTTTTGAGCTTTGTAAAATATGAATCTTGTGTCATTTTCATAAGCCCAAAAATTTGCCTTTTCTTTTAATGCCATGTCATTTTTATGAAGCGTCCCATGTAAACCCCCTATGAATATCTCAACACTTAAAAGTGTGACTGTTATTAAAATTTTCTTTAAAAGAAAACAGAAAATATACAGGTTGTAAGTGCACACAAATATATCCCCTTCATTTATATACAACTTACTCATAGATCTACTTCTATGAGTTTGATATCACCTACACGATGAATGACTAAAGTAGGTCATTTTTATTATTTTGATTTTTGTGTTCTTGTTTATCTATGTATCACATGTAGAAATTGTATGACAACATACCATATATGGTTTGACATACCATATTTAGTGTGTGCATGTGTATAACGGCAGAGAAACGGCATTGAAACAGTTCAGAAAATAACTACTTTCTGTTATAAAGATTTGATGAGTTCTATAAAAATGAATTCAGTGATATACTAAGTTTTCTTGATCATATTGTAGTGGTCGGAGGTAATACCGCATTGCCGGCAACGGCACTAATTTGACCTAATGCCGGCATCAAAATCTTCTTACCGGCAATGGACGGCATTCAGCTGAATTAGATTCCCGGGCGGAATCAGCCAAATTCCTTCGTCAGTATAATCTCTATAGTTTCTTTTCTCACTTATTAACTAAACTGTTATGTATAGAAACTGATTTGTGTACATTGCTAAGTAAAATAAACAGAATTAAACCATTTTCCTGACGTTGAAGTTTCACTTTACCTATTTGAAGTTCAGAACGAGGCTGATAATACAACGAAAGAAAAGGTATTTATTTTACGAGTTTATATCACATGAACCATTAGAATCAGGATTGTTTAGTGGTTTAAAATGATTCTGAGTGGGTTCTACTGTTTCTACAGATAAATTAAGTGATATGTATGGCGTACTATGAGATTTTTGGCGAAATATACCCGGGGAAAACTTTTTTTTAGCCTTTTTCAAAATACTTGCTATATAGTCGGTAAATATCGGTAATGACATACGGTAATACCGGCACCACTTTTCATTACCGGTCCGAGCACTATCATATTGTTGTTTATATTTCAACTAATGTGCCTAAAATTGCATTAATGCAGTGCTGTCTTTGGTATCTTTCCACACGACCACACCAATATAATCCATAGCACTTTTCTGTCTGTCTACCACCAGTGAGTCAAGAATGTTATTACATTCTTCTAAAATATCTAGGTATTCCTTAACTAGTTTCTAGCTAGGCTAGCTAGTACAACTAGTACAATTAGAACTTTAGATGCACATGAGTGTCAACAAAATGTGCAAATTTTAATACAACTAAAATACAATATAAAATATTGGATTCATTCAGCTATCAACTAATAGAGGACTCTGTATTTACATTCAGCATCACAGCTGCCACCTATCTTGAAATTTTACATTCAAGAATGCGCATTTACTACATACCCTGAATATAGAGTAATTTGAGTTTATAATGTGAGCTTGCCTTCTTCATAAATACTTCAATTCTAATCACCGAGGAGTTTTCATAATGCTGTGGAGGGGTCTTCGACGCAATGTAACAATGTTCAGTTTGTCCAATGTGGACCACTTGAGACATGACCTGATATCTACATGCAAACATGCAAACACTGCACAAAGGTCTCCTGTGAAACTGTACACCTGTCAACATCACGTTCTCTCTGTCTCTCTCTGTAACATTTTGTACAAACACCTATACATCTCTGTGCAGTCATCAGCTTTTAGCTTCAATATATAGTACTGCTCAACTTAAAGTTCATTTTTCTTTTCATGAAAATCCGCTGGATTACACTGCAAGGAAGTTAGGTATTGGGACTTGGATTTTCAAGCATTTCCATCAGGAAAGTGTCTATCGGAGTGTCCCCGATGAGTTTGAAAAAGAATAAATGTTCCAGGCATTTTAAGCCTATACTACGTAGTGCTGGTAACCGTAGCAACAGTTTAGCGAATCGTCCTGGTTCATCTGGATATTGCGTCTTGCAATATTCTTCCAATGAAGCATAGACTTTTTCACGTAAGGCCTCAATATCTGGGACAGCGGAAAGTCCTTTAGCATCTGCAAAAAATTAAACTTCTATGATGAGGTCTAATGTCATAGTATTCATTACGGCATTCATTACATCATTACATGTGATTTCAAGGTTTATGCTGGTATGGCCTTTATATCCCATTTCCTAATGATTTTACTCATTTTAACATAACAGTATTTAAGAAAAAAAGTCATTGATGTACATTTACTCATGTGATCAAGCTATGATTGTGACTGAAGCCACTAGGAAGCTTCATTAATCGGATTCATTATATAACAAAAAAAATACAGGGTGACAATAAAATTCCAGAATACCTGATGCAATTCTAGGTGTACATTTTTACGAACCAATCAGAATGTAGCCCTGAACTATAGAAACCTTTAAAATAATTTCTAAATATGGCTGCCATAGTTTCTCACCTGGGTTATATAGAACGATGGCTCGGAGACATCCTAGTTCAGTCTTATCCATCTTCATCTCGCGCATTTTAGCAACCAGCTCTGTGAGAACTCTATCAAATATAGTTCCCACGCCTGCCTGGTGGGCACTGCTACGATGCACATGAAGACCAGTTGCCAGCAAGATGCCATCTTTAACTGCGATGGAGCGATGCGAAAATGCAGCAATCAATAATTCATTCCATCCTAAAATTCAAGTAGAAATTCAAATCAGAAATGGGGCTAATTCAAGCAAACACCAATAATTTAAGCAAACCAGAAAGAGACATATCATACACTCTACATTATACATAAATCACATATTTGATTTGAGTTCAGTAAAAAAGCTAATATTGTACCTGCTCTGAGAAGGATAACCTGATCATCTACTGGTAGTTCTACAAAGTGTGGGATACGTTTGGCCCAGTCTACCAGTGTAAATAGCTGCTTGTCAGCTGCCTGGCAGATATTTGTTACAGCATCTTTCTGAAATGCATAAATAAAATATGTTTTATGGAAATAATCTACACATAGGTCATTAAAATTAAATGTCTGTATGGGGTGATTGTCCTAAAAAAAATTCTGGCCAAGATTTTTTCTTTTTGACATTATCTTTACAGACAATCACCTGTGTGAAAATGTGTGTCTCTCTTTTGTGTCAACATTGCCTGTGTGATAAGATCCATGTCTCTTGTGATATATGTACCAATATATGTGTCATTATCAAAACGTGTATAAAAATATGTGTCATTATAACATGTGTCATTGTTACCTGTGTGTCAATTTGTGTGACAGTGTTACCTGTGTTTCAATATATGTGTCATTGTTACCTGTGTGTCAATTTATGTGACAGTGTTACCTGTGTGTTAATATATGTGTCATTGTTACCTGTGTGTCAATATATGTGTCTGTTTTGGGTTCCACAGACAGTTCAGCCTCCAGGATACGCTCTACTGGCATCTCAGCATTGGCGTTACTTGTGCTCTCAACCTCATTCTCTCCACGTTCCTTGCACCTCTGCCTCTCCTCTTGGACAGCTGAAACACCAAAAACCATTCAATTCCAATACAATGGTGTCGAGGAATCTTCCAATATAATGGTGTCAACGAATCTTCCAATATAATGGTGTCAAGCAAACATAGAACTGAAATGTTTTAATTAGGAAATCACCTTGCTTACTTGTTGTGAAATCGTTTTTAAAAATATTTCTGTATTTTAATATGGATATTAACTAGTTTAAGATTAGCTGTAATCAAGAGACGATATAATATGAAGGTGTAGAAAAGCAATCATTTAACTGATTCAGAGGAATAAGAAAATCAAATGGCTTTGTCATTTAGGTTATGTTTCAATCTATATACAAGACATTAATACACAGGGTGGAAGCAGTTCTACCAGAAATGAAAGTAACAGGTCCTCAGGCTTGGAATGTAACCAATTGAGCAAGGCATTAACAAAATGTCATCACCTACCATTTGTCACTGATGCCGAATGCCCTGCCAACCAACATCCACAAAATAGTTTGAGTGTAAAATAATGAACAAATGGGGGAAATTCTACGTAGAAATAGTCATAACCAGAACAACGGCAACGCCAAAGCGTAGCAAATCCCATCGAACAGAAATAGCTGGCATTTTTACAAACGAATAGCAAATATCATAAAACAACACACCAGAAAGGCCACCATTTTCAAAATGGTTGCTCACTAGCCAAGTTGTCATTAGGAGAAATAATATGCTTTTAAGTAGCTACCTCTAAAATTTTTGAAAAATTACACACGTACTTGTAAAATAACACACATAAAAATGGTGGCCATTTTTCAAAATGGCCGACTACTCCCCAAAGTTTTATTAGACAATGTGCCATGCTTAAAGTATTCACATATCAAATATGAACAAAATCGCTCCACTACTTTTTGAGTTATAGTAAAATACGTTAAAATGGCGGCCATTTTTCAAAATGGCCACCTTCTACCAAAAGTGTCATTAGAAATAGACAGTGTGCCATGCTTATAGTATTCACATACCAAATATGAACAAAATTGCTCCACTACTTTTCGAGTTATAGTAAAATATGTTAAAATGGCGGCCATTTTTCAAAAATTTTTTAAAATGGCCGCCTTCTACCAAAAGTGTCATAGGACAGTGTGCCATGCTTATAGTATTCACATACCAAATATGAACAAAATCGCTCCACTACTTTTCGAGTTATAGTAAAATACGTTAAAATGGGGGCCATTTTTCAAAATTTTTTTCAAAATGGCTGCCTTCTACCAAAAATGTCATAGGACAGTGTGTCATGCTTATAGTATTCACATACCAAATATAAACAAAATCGCTCCACTACTTTTCGAGTTATAGTAAAATACGTTAGAATGGCGGCCATTTTGAAAAATGGCCGCCTTCTACCAAAAGTGTCTTTAGACAGTGTGCAATGCTTATAGTATTCACATACCAAATATGAACAAAATCGCTCAACTATTTTTTGAGTTACAGCAAAAATCATAAATTGACGAGTAAAGGCGGCCATTTTTCAAGATGGCTGCCATGTGCTTCTTTAATATCTACATTTGTAGCATTATTAATGTCTTTTATAATTTTTTTACATTTAAAACATATTGCTATTACAGTTTTACATATTGCACCTAAATTACTGTAAAATCGGCACTAAAATGGCCGCCATTTTGAAATGAGCGGCCATTTTGAAAATTGGCTTTCGAGCAGAACTTCTACCCCCATAGGGTATATGTGTACAAAATATAAACAAAATCGGGTTAACGGTATTTGAGTTATTGCCCGGACGGACAGACGGACGGACGTACGTACGGACGGACGGACGTACGGACGGACGGACGGACGGACGGACGGACGGATGGACGGACGGACGGACGGAGGCGTTACCTATATCCCTCCGAACTTCGTTCGATGGGATAATAAAGGTGTCATTATGATGATTGTTTCTTTGATTCTTCGGATTGTCAGCCACAGAACTGATTTTCAAAGATTTCATATCACATGATTCATATGGTTCAAATCCTGTGTCATACATTTTTTACTCAATGGCTATGCAAGTATCTTGGCAGTTGTATGAAAATGTAAAATAATGTATGCCCAAGTAAAAGGGAATGGAAAATGTTCTACAGTATGAATAAAACAAGAAATCAATGTACTAACTTCAGGTCTATTGAGAAAAACAAAAACTGATTCAAAATCAGATTCAATAATTTCTAGCAGAGCTGCTTCCACCCCTTGTTATTAATATACGTATATTTTTGTTATAAAGAATCGAAGAAATACAAGGAGTACAAAGGAAATGGTTCATTATTATAATATAATTTGTTAATTGATTTCATGTATTATTTATCAAAAACCATTGCAAATATAACAGTTATAACAATTAGTTCTTTCAAAAGTGTTAAATACTAAAGGTACCCCCTATAATGCTCAATATTTACTTCTCCGATATGTTTGAACATTTATTATGAAACTTGATGCCATGAAATATATTTTTGTCAAATAACATTATTCAGACATTTCTCAAAGATAATCCCTGATTTACAGTGCTAACTCATGGGGATTAAATACAAAATATGGTGTGTGGTTCAAAAAATATTTCCATTCTTTGGAAAGCAAAGGGCATGATGATGTACATGTATATATTTGTCAGACTCAAATATTGACCAATGGCATATAAGATGTTTATCATATGCAGAAGGCAATATTTTCTATGATAACTTAATATAAACAGTAAAGAAAACAGATCAAGTACAAATCAATGATCTAATGATACAACTTAATAGTTTTAGACTCATGTTTTTCAAATATTATTATTACATGTATATCTTACAATAATCATGATAAGTGGAAATCTCAAGGTGTCTAACTTTATATATGTATATTTATGATAATGATAACAATCAAAAAAACCAATAAATCAATGATGGCTAGTTAATCAACAGTGACCAACTGATCAATAATAATCAGCTTATCAATGATGAGATAGTCAGTCAATGATGATCAGCTAATCAATAACGGCAACTCCGCGGAGTAGCAAATCCCAACGAACAAACTATCAATTATCGAATTCCAATCAATTATACTCATTACTTTGGTTAAAATTGAAAAATTTAGATTTTAGAATTGTGAATTCCTGCAAAGCAGCCATTTTGAATTTTCTGAGGTACAAATCTGAAAAATAATACCATAATTGTGATCTACTCCAAAATTCCTTCAATTTGAGTATAATATAGCCATACTTTGAAGGGATCGAAAAATTATTGCGAAATCATACATTAGACGACCATTTTGAATTTTACGAGGCTCGAATCAGAAAAAAGATACAATATCTGCAATCTACTCTTAATTGCCTTTCATTTGAGTATAATAAAGCTGTACTTCAGAAAGATCTAAAAATTAGCGAAAATTTCTGTTTTCCTGACCCCCCCCCCCCCCCATACACGGCCCCTGGGGGTTAGGATGAAAAACAAGGAATATATGTGAAATAGATAGATGTTGTGAATATACTACCAAAATTTCAAACAATAATATTGATTACTTTGGTTTAGAATGAAAAATTTATGATTTTTGCGAAAAAGTCCCGTCATTTTTAAAGCGGCAGCCATCTTGAAAAAAACTAATATTTGAGTTATCTTCCGGACAGACGGACGGACTGACTGACTGACTGACGGACTGACGGACGGACGGACAGACGGACAGACGGACGGACGGACGGAGGGCTTCACTTTATCCCTACCGAACTTCGTTCGTTGGGATAATGACTAGTGGATCAATAATGATAACTTTGTCAATGATGACAAGGAAATCAAAAAATCAATGATAAATACCATTCAACAATAACAACCCAAACAACACCAGCCAAGCTGAAATATTGCTGCAATATTTTCAATTATGTGATATATCTAAATAAAGCTAGCTGAAGCGACATACATGTACATGTATATGCAAAAAATGTTATATGGCTATATAGCTCTACAGTAAGAGTCAATTGGGTTGTGTATCAATCAAATCTAAAAAATTAAGCAATCAAAAAAAAAAATGCGATATTGTATGAAAGATACATTCAAATTTTACACACAAAATGATTTGATATCTTGGATTGCTTGGCTAATAAAATGTGTGGCTTATATTTTGATGCTTCTCTGACATGTTATTAACATAGGAACTCCCTAAACTGCAGGAGGCCACATGCACATAAATCTTATTTATCTACCCTGCGTGCAGAGTCTAGTTAAACTACACTCTGCCTAGTAGAGACCATATTACAGTTTAGTAGCCCCGCCCCCACGACGGGTACCGGTGACAGTTTGGGTAATAATATAAATCACTTCTGACCTATGCGCTGACCTTTCTTCCACCATTCAGCGAGCCTGAACAAACATACGCCAAATGCGTTCTAATTAAATATGCGCATGTCATTGGTCAATTCTGGGCTCAACGATGACGTCAGAAGGAATGACCATATATAGAACGTCGGTCAAATTTGGCCGACGAACACTGATTGGCGCGGTGAGTTCACAGGTTTATTTTAGTTTGAAAGAGTGAAGACGAAGCTCTCTTTTAAGAAGTGAAGTCAAACGAATGCAAAGGGTATTATTTATCTGAAATATACAGATATTTTGCATTTAACATATGAATGTATTTTTCAATGAAATATTAGTGTCGTCCTTTGATTGTTTTTTAGGTATGATTGACACATGGCCCAACTGACTGGCACTATAAATACATGTAGCAGCCAGTATCCAATTGAGTTTGCTGCAGTATATTTAAAATATAACATGGCTAGCAGTTAGAAAATTGCACTAAAACAGCAAAGCTAAAAGCAATATAGCAAAATAACCAATAAAATATATTGATTTGAATCAAGCAATGAAATGAAAAAAAAGATGATTCCATGAATGAAGAGGGTGATAGTGATTTATTTTATAGATTACATGTATTCCAATTGGACCTCTTGGCCGCATTTATGTATGTGAAGGGATTAAGCAGTTGTGCCAACCAAGTATAGTAATATACTTCTGCCTCGAGTCTTTGGGAAAGCAATCATTGAGAGCAATGGATCAAAACTAGACTGGAAATTCAAGCAATAGGATTAAACAAATTAGCCTTCCACAAGTTCTCTAACCATTAAATAAAACAGTACTATAAAAGATGTCCTCATTTTTAGTTGAGGAAAATTTGTATTTTCGTAACATGTAAAAAATAGCTTTAAAATTGCACTAAAATCATAGTTGGGCAAAAATAATTTTGCTTCCAAGGCAGGAAAACTGTTCTTCATTTCTGTCTCTTGATCAGTAGAATATCAGGTAGTAGTGTGACTGCATATATTGATAATTTTGTAGAAGTATGTTTACTGAACTAGGCTTCGATGTATGGGTTTTCAAGAACTTATGCTGACGAAGCAACAAAGCACAAAATGAAAAAACATACATTTTAAGCAATCTTGGAATTTCAGGTAACACTGTATAAATATACAGAGTATGGTTTAGAAGCATTTCATGTAAATTACTGAGAATTAAAAGGACATTTCTTCTCCTTCATAAAACGTTATATGAGTTTTATCAGGAATAATAAAAGAACTATATCTGTAAATGGGAACATGGAGTATTATTCACTTGACATTAATTATATAACTTAGGAAATATGCTACACACCTTTTTCTAATCAATACTTCTACCTAAGCTAAAGTAATAACATGCATCTTTTGCTAGAAGCAAACATAAAAAGCTGATTTTCTATAAGCGTGATATAATGCACTTTCCTAAAAACAGGGTGATCAGAAATACAGGGAACTGTGTGTTACTCTGTAGAAAGCAGCCAGAGTTTAACTAAAGCACAGGGTAACCTATCAATCCAGAACAATCTGTATTTCTCAATCACCCTGTATTTTCAATCAATCCAGAGGCAACAATTTTGAGTTAATAAGTATCAATACAGATTGCACTGTTATTGTCTGGTCACCCTGTAGTCTTACAAAATATAACTAAGCACTAATATCTAGAGGGTGACCCTGCTTGGGAAACCCTGTAGTAGTAAGCTGTAAATGCTCCTAGCGAACATAGCGTGAAGCTGCAGCAGCCATCGAGTCTAACACATTTTTCAATAAACGCCCTTCTTTTACCAATGTTCCAGATTTAATTTCTGAATGGAATTTCTAACATGTATTGAGTCCTAAATGGCAAAAGCAGAGAACTGGGGCTTTACATGACAGCCACCCTTGGATGGAATACCATAGTGTTCATGCTCTTCCTTGGTCATTGAGGGAAATGATATAAAACCTGGATGACTGAACCCTATATATGTTAAAGCATTGTCTCACATACATTTTGACTTAACTCTACACTTGATCAATTTTGTTCCAGTGGTAGGTCTAAAAGAAATTTTTAGAGCTGCACTTACAAAAAGTTTGTTTCTTAACAAGGATGGGTGATTGGCAGAAAATGAAATTGATTATGTGTAGAATTTAGCACAAAGCTTTTGAGAGAACTCCTAAACAGTTTTCTAATAAAAATACCTTTCTCAGACTTTTCATCTTGTTATTACATTCTTGTTAAAACAGTGTCCATTTATAATGTTCTATAGAATGTCATACATGTACAACAGCATGCACATCACTATTTCATTTCCTCAACAATATCCCCAGAATCTTCTCATTAACTGAAATTGTTCTATTGCATTTCTCTTGTTAAAGTATGGGACAAGAACACTATGATATCACTTAAAGGGTAGCTAGGTGCCAAACCATTGAAGCCTTAATGCTTAAGCCTAATTGAATTTATATACTTCTACCACATACCTCGGCTACCAATGCCGCTTGAAACATCTACGAAATGGAGAAAATGACAATTAGATTTCATACAGATAAACCTGCCCATTGGTTCTACTCTATCCACTAACAAGTGACCACTCTGCCATTGAGTGTTTCTCAAATCTTATCTTTTTAAAAGTTTAAGGGATTTCTTAACTCTTTAGAGCTGATTTTTCAGAGAAAACTACATCATTTTCATTGAAAAATCAACAGAATTAGTTTTTCTTTTAGAAACTCAAGAGCTCAATGATTTTTTCTACTGGAAAATCAAAAACAAAAATATTTTCTTCATTAAAAAAGAGCTGTATGTCTTCTTCCATTTCCATTCTCGTTGAAATTCAAGAACTGAAACAAGTCTTTCTGTTGGATATAGAAATATGAATTTTTCGAATTTTTTGTTTTGGCATTTGTGGTCACATTGCAGTCTACATGGGCCTAGTTCTTGGGCAGCAGATACATACTGATGAGTCTCCAAAATATAATTCTAATAATATTAGTAATTCATGATATAATAGAAATGTTTAATAATGAAAACTAAATCTTTAAACTAATTTTGATAACAACTGATACATAGGATAAAGTAGGTAACATTTTAATTGCTTGCATATATAGACCACATCAAGGAATACCTACAAATGGCTATGATACAGTTCAATGTTTCAGACCAAAACACAAAATTTGAGACTGGGCTGGATTTTTTATCAGTAGGAAATCTAAAACAGAGTGCACAAATACTAATAAAACAGTGTTAGCAGTTTGCTAAAAATCAAGTTATAAAATTGGACACACGACAGTTTGCCATACCAAGAGTGAATGTGTGTGTGAGAGATTACATAAGAGATATTATGGGAACCCAGCTGGCAAATATTATTGTGATAATCTCAAGAATTTGACATAAAAAAGAATCAAACTAACCTAAAAATGAATTTCACTATGGCCAGTTTTTCCTTTTTGAATTCATGTATCATTAAACCATTAACTAATGTGCATATTACATGATTTAAGCATGGTTTCAAGTTGTACAAGTGGTTTAATAGAAATTTCAAGGATTCCATGGAGTATAAGTTTGCACTGACCATATGAAATTATTTTCAAGGATAGTTCAATGAGTTCTGATATCACTTGGTTGGCGATATATATGCATAGCAGAAAACACAGGACTTTGCTGCAGTTTATGAAGTCTTAGATGTTCAAAGTCTAGTAACAAGAAAGAGGAAATTAAAAATCCAAAAGTAGTTTCCATATTATATTCTAAGATATTGAACTTTGCTTTAATAAAAAAGATTTTTTCATGTTATGAAATTAAGCCGGATGGATCTTGTCATGAATGGTGATAAAGAATGAAGCAGAATGAAGCGTTGTGTGATCAGCCACGAAGCTGAGGTGTAGTATCACAACAAACGCTGTTACAAAAACACAAAAACTTAGCACAATCTGACCATAAAACGTCATGATGGTCACATCATAAGGAAGCTATCAAGGAATTGCAAGAACAAAACACATCTGACAAACACTAAAAATTATATAGAAATGCTAGAAAACTCTTAGATTCAATCAAATATTAATGAGAAAAAATACCAGGACAAGAGTTGGACACATTGGCAATACAGTTTGCATTTTGTATCTTTTATTTTATGAAGTCCAAATAAAGTATTTCTATACAATATAAGGTTCAAGTTTCAAATAGCCCTCAGTGCTAGTAATTCCTTGATATTGTGCCTTGTGACCATCGTGACAATATTCTTGTTGATAAGACAGTAACGAAACATGATCTACGTGTATCTTACAATAAGCATATTCTTTGTATATGAAAATGAAACATTATACCAGAACTGCTAATAATAATTTCCTGTGATATCACAGATTCAATAGAGGTTTTCAATTTCAGAAATACATACTCTAATTAAACTACCTTGGCTAGAATATGTATTTAACTACAAATAGACCATGTTCAGTTACAACATCATTAAACTAAATGATCAAATTCCATGCTTGTACACAACATTGTGTGTTTTGTCCTTTTTAAAATTCATACAGAAGTTTTAACTTAAAAGTTTGTTGTATTTGTACATAAATCTAATAAAGCGTGGGCAGGGTAAATACAAATTTAGGTTTAAAGTATGCAAACTTTTCTTTGCATATTGCATCAGACATGGGTGCCAGGTGAATCAAAGGTCCTTCTTTTTTGTGCAAAAAAGTTCAGTGGTGGCACTCATATATTTTTGGTTGTATTTATTGGAAATCATGAATTCTGAAAGTTTTGGAACACAATGATTCAGTTCCCAAAGATGTTATCTGATGGTTCGGACAATTATTCAGCACATCTTTTTGGTGCTAGCCCTAGAATTGATGTTTAATGTGTATGAACTTCAAAAATTATGAGCACCAATAACTTATGTCTGTTAAATTCAAAATCTTGAATGTAAGAGAGATATGGAAAAGTGCAAGGGAAAACAAAAAGTTTGAGTACAATGTTTGGTACAAGCATTAGAACAGAAAACCTTCCTCAATTCGAAAGGTTAATCAGAAATGTAATTACACAATATCATATCTTCAAAGATGTCTTCCAAATATAAAACAGAAATAAATATGTTATCCTTCAAATAAACTTAGTTCATACTATGAAAGGCAAGAAAACAATTTTCAAAGGAAATGCAAGAAGATTTAAATCATTGGAGAATCCCATCAGCCACTCTTATTATTTGAAGGGGAAAGGAGTACATCTTTGAGGTTGGACACTAGACCTAAATATGAGGAATTCTGAGGAATAAATACCTTCTCTTTTCATGCCCATGGCAAGACATTTCATGTAACGACAGTATTGACATCTGTTCCTCTGTCGTTTGTCAATTATACAATTGCGTTCATCACGACAGGCATATGTCAAATCTTTCCGTACTGTTCTCTTGAAGAATCCTTTGCAACCCTCGCAACTAAAATATACAAAATACAGGCATCTAAACCTTTCACTTACTTGACTCCATCGATACTCTTTACACTAGAAAACAGAATAGCAAACCTTAAAATGTTTTCTCCAAGATTTCTATTTTGATCATTCCAGGCTAGAAATACTATAAAGTAGTATTTGTGTTTGGCAGAAACTACACCCACCCGGGAGATCTGTATGCATTAGATCAACTAAACACATTTTTTTGTGGTGAATGTCTGTTGTAAAATAATTTTAAGCCCCACTCAAATTGTTCATGAACCAATCAAACATTTCATAAATCCTGGCTACTTGATATTTCTCTATTTTAGAAAGATTTATCTACCTGTATACTCCATAGTGCTTTCCTGAGGCCCTGTCTCCACAGATGGCACAGATGTGTTTATTTGGCAATGACGAGTGTGGCATGTGATGGGGAGAGGCCATGGAGGAACTAGGCGAGGTCATAGATGTTGTGGGGGATGTCATCGATTCTGTTGGAGAGTGCATCTGCTGCTGCTGCTGTTGCATGTTCATCATCTGCGTGCTGTGCATCATCCCTGTTGGTGACATCTGTTGAGGCATCATCCCCTGCATTGACATTGGTGGGCGGCCCATAGAGAAGAAGCCCTGGAATAAGATTTTCCAAATTATACGATATGTAATAAGCTTTGTCGAATATGTTTGTCAGTTCATAAAATGTTAACACGACAGTGACACCAAACACTAGTCATACAAATAAGAACAGAGTCTATAACTATCATTTGTACATTATGTTAGCATCTCTTGATGGTGACATATCCTAAAATAATACAAGATCCTATTAAATGCCACTCACCTGTACCATATGGTTTGGAACTGTGCTGGTAGGTGAGTTGAGGCCAGAAATATCTGGTTTCATATCAGGGGGTGATCCTACCATTGAGTTACTGCCCACACCCATTGGGCTACCTAACATGTTAGTAGAATCCATCTGTTCTGAAAAACACAAACATAAAATGGTTATTTTCAAATTATAACTCAAATGTTATCATTTTTCTTCATTCTTATCTAATGTCTAATCTTGCATTAGGTTCACACAGACGTGACTGGTAAGTGTGATAATGGTCAATCTAAGAAGAGTTGTAGAATCATATCCTCTGCATCAGAAATAATCTCACACAAGGACGATGACGAACATACTATGTACGTATATTCCAATCTTTATACATGTAAGTATATTTAACTTATTACTTAGAGCATCGTGTACTCGAGTATATAGTAATAATTGCTATCACTTTATACGGTAAATATTAAAAATGCTGCATTGCTAGAAGTCAAACATATTGATTTTTACTTGTGTATGTCAGATTAAACTTGTTATAATAAAGCTAGACATTGTTCATGGTAGAAATGTCTGTTTCAAGGATAAAAATATATAAGTACTTAACACATAACACATTAATGTTATTATTCTATTTTTTCAGCTATTATTTAATGACTGTACGTAGGTGGCTTTGACTATTCTTGAAGCAAAATCTGTCTGGGATTTTTTCAAGCATGTCTGACAATGGACTAATCATCCTCATTACATAGAAATTCACACCATTTCTCTCAAAAATCTACTTTCTCATTATTTAACACAAAATGAGAATAAATATTTCTGATCACTCCGACTTCATCTCTTCCTAATTCATTCATTTTCAGATTTTCAACATGCCTAACATGGCATTCTATTCATTATTCTATGTCTTATTATTCTGTCATATCCATATACAAAAGCCCATAAAAACAAGATAGAGTCAAAAGTCAAATATTCAGCTATTTATTAAGTTGAGAATAATATTAAACTAAAGGGATGACACAAAAGTATTTATCTAAGAAAAGTTGTAATAGAAAATAAATTTATTGAAATAGGTATCCCAATGCTCTTTTTATACAAAACATACAACCTGGTTTATACAAATATATTTTTCTAGCATGCTTAATGATCCCAAGGCATATTAAACATAACTTATTAGTCTTGTTTGTCTAATATTTATAGAATAAACTACCATAACCCGGATTTCATACTATGTATCAATGCTGGATTAATATATATATATTATATATAAGTAAAAATAAGAAGAACTAATAAAATACGTTTGAAAATCTAAACATGTTTCTTTATTCCTCAGTAGATTTTTCAAAAATGAGAACAAGAGGTATACAGGTAAGTATGACGTAATATTAATATAATTAATTAAACGTCATGGAAACCAATAAACAATTTATTTGTTTAGTTTTGGTTTAAGATATATACAGGTAAGTATGACGTAATATAAATATAATCCGCTTATATAGTAACCAATAAACAATTTATTTGTTTATTTTTGGTTTAAAAATATACAGGTAAAAAGGTATATGACGTAATATTAATACAATTAATTATTGTTATTATATATATATATATATAATGAATGCCCCAGTGGCATTACATAACAATGATTAGAGTAATACAGTAGGATGCCAACATTGCTTCGTTAAGGATACTGAAAGATGTGACCCTTGAAAATGATGAGACTTACACATAATAATGAGAGTTTCATATCATAAGATTCGAGGTCTTATGACCCATCTATCTCAATTTCAATGTTTTTGTTTTTAGCTGATGTAATACTGGATTTTACCCTGTGCATAGAGTCTAATTATAAACTACCCTCTGCCAAGTATAGACTACATTACAGTTTAGCACCCACGCCCCCACGACTGATACCCATGACAGCTTGGGTCATAAATCATTTCAAATCTACCACGCTGACCTTTTTCTCAACCAATCAGCAGGCTGGAAGTAACATGTGCTAAATGCTTGCACAATAATTATGCGATTGCGTCAGAGAAAATGACCATATTTAGAAAGTCGTCCTTATCCCGGCGACTAACTCTGATTAGCTCGGTGAGTTCAGAGATTTATTGAAAACTGAAACAGTGAAGATGAAGCTCTCTTTTGAGAAGCGAAGTCGAACGAATATAAAGGGTAACTGGATTTAATGTTCTCGTTGTAAAACTGGTTTAATATAACTATTTTCCTATCATTTTTATCTATTTTGAACATTTGTCATGCCTGATCACTCATAATGCTTCCTTTATTTCACTTATTTTTGTCATTATGGTGAATCTACTAAAATAGAAATGTAAAAAATAGAATGAAGAGTGAAATCAAATCTCAAATCAGTCAATTCTAAAGAGAAATGCAGTGGAGTAAGAATGTCAATAAACATGACAATAAGCAGCACTCTCATAAAGAAGAGGCTACAAGGATATAATAACCTTGTTCAAGGTGAATCTACAGGCAACATGACCTGTTCAAGGACTACATAAACATATGCACTAGGCCTATATGTTTATTGCTTTTAACAAGCAATAACTGCTAATTAACAGCATTGTTATTGGTTTTAGTTTATGTGAAAAAACTGACTTTGGGCCAACCAATTCTCTTTATAGCGTAGATCTAGGAGAGAGAGAGGAGGGGGGGGGGCTTCAGTGGTCATGAACGATTTTTAACTATCAGGTCTTACTTCACCCTTTAATAAAATAAAACAGTTTTCATGAAAGAAATCCAAGATGGCCACCTTAACATTTACCCACAATGCCACACTGACTTAACAGTGAACAATAAATACAATTTGATACATGATATAGATCTGATATGTATGTCCAATAGGTTTCATGCATTTGCATTTATTCATATTCTCTCCACAACATATTGGTTTTACTCAGTAGTACGCTATGTATGCTATGACTGAAATTCTACAGTGAGAAACAATGTCAATCTTTCCTAGTCTTCATGTACACTGTGGTGAGTATCAGAACACCAACCCCAAAACACTTTCCACGACAAGTTGGGGACTATAACAATATGTTGACATAGTGGAAATTGAATCTGATTTTTAGAATTTCTGTATTGTTTAGTGTGTAAGGTTTAATCCTGCATATTCTTTTCCCTGTTGATTTTTGACACAATTAGGAAACACAGTTTCTTTAAATAAATACATGATACACATATTTTCATGTTTAATATAATTTGGATAATATTCCTCAATATTTTGGTTAAGCATTTGATGAAACATTATGACAAGTTATGCTATGAAACAAAAATTGGATCAATCAATGCTAAGGACAATTTCCAAATTCCTTTACCTTGTGACTTAACCAAAACCACAATCAGGTCAACATATTGATCTGCTATATGTCAACAAAATCGTAATACTATAGTACAGATTAAGGACATACCGACATAATATACCACCAGCAATGAAAGCTCTGGAAATTATATATAAGTCCGTGTGGCACAAGTAGCCTTGCAAAACCCCTAGCTTAGAATTCACTCCTGGGATATTCCCCATCTATATTTGAGAGACAGATACTCATATTCTGGTTGATAAGAAATGACTCCAGTCAAACATTCATAAAATAAAAGACAATACGTAGTTGAATCCTTAGAGACATCGACCAGATATCAAAACAACAAAGAACACTTTAGTCAGAGCAACTTGGTAAAATCGTCCTAATAATAAACTCCTGCAATATAAAAAATCGAGAAAACTGCTTTGCAATCAATAAAACAAGTGAGTGATTGCAAAAGCTCACCATGTGAGCTAACAACAACCACAGGCCTGTCAACTTGGGAACACCTAACATGAGTGACTTGGAAATGTTGAACACCACCTTGGGGGAGGGGGGCAGGTACGAAAAATTTCGAACAGAATGCGTGACATATACGTAATTCGCGTGAAAAGTCCGAACGAAATGCGTACATTTTTTTTCCGGCATTCGTATTTTTGCTGTGTACACGATCTTTTTTAGAAATTTTTCTACAGAAATATTTTGGCGTGACAATTACCAGGTAAAATGCGTATTTGCGTGACATTTTCTGTCACGCAAAAATAACTGGCGTGACTTCGAATTCTTCAGCAAATGCGTGACAAATACGCAAATTGCGGGACAGTTGACAGGCCTGCAACCAGGATACAATAAATTCAGAGGGAGTTTTGTTCATTGATAACTATTAAAGTAGTGCATCAATGACTGCCCGGCTACATGTGAAATATTGCTTTAGACTTACCAACCTTTGGCAATAAGCCAGTCTACGTAAGTACTAGTACTAAGAGGCAACAACCACAGGGTACAAACAATCTCTAATCTCGAAAATACATCAGCAAAAAAGTTTATTTACCCGGTTAATCATTGTAATGCCATGGTCACATTTGCTCCGATTTTTACTACGGCGCCCGGCCGATTGAGTATTGTGTTCAAAATTGTATTATAACAGTTTTTCTAGTTGAACAGAGGTATATGAAATTTTTGTTATTATGACATTTATTTGCAGATGGCAATTTCTTATTGGTTGTGTTTTCTGGATGCTTTGCGCTGGCCTGTAATTAGAAAATGAATTTAACTACATGTACACAGAGAGAGATTGCATGTCATTGATTTCATGGACATTTCTAATCCATTGACCCCAATCCTGAAGTAAATATGCAAATAAGGTATACCTGGTAGTTGTATTCCAATATGGCTGACTGATTGGCAATCTTAAATATCCATGATTATTATATGAACTCAAATGATGAGTGGCCAGTCAAGGATTTGGTAAATGGTGAATGTTGATGCTCTATTCAGTTGCTCCAGTATGGCTGCCTATAGGATTTTATGTATATGCACGCTTCACAAGTCCTATATAATAATAAGCACAGGATTTATAAGCAAAGTTTGCGCCCATCTGATCAGCAGTTACTGTCTATGAATAAACCCCAGCAAGGCTACTCAATTTTAACTAGTGCAATTTCAAGGTAAATATAATTCCAGATATATGGCCATTTTATCATATGCTATCCACCATGGAGTTCGTAAATGTACCTAATGACCTTTAGAAAATCCGGTTGGTTGTGGTAACTGGTTAGATGTTTCACTGTCGACCACCTATTCACTGCAGATGAAATCAATACATTCTCAATGTT